TGGGAATTCTGAGGGAATTCCTGGCTCACCTGGGTGACGTAGACCATGTCGGCCATGAGGGCGAACCCCTCCAGCTTCAGCTGCGAGATGAAGGCCTGGAGCAGGACGTTGATCTGGGAATGGCGATGGAAAAACCACCTGGAGCTTAATTCCCAAGGAAACCTCCTTTTCCCCAATTTCCCAAAAGAGCTGCTTTTCCTGGCTCCAAATTCCCAAAGAAACCTCCTTTTCCTGACTCCTAATTTTCCATGAAAGCTGCTTTCCCTGGCTCCAAATTCCTGACAAAACTGCTCTTCATGTTTCCAAATTTCCAAGGAAAGCCACTTTTCTGGTTCCAAATTTCCAAGGAAATTTCCTCTCCCTGGTCCCAAATATCCCAAAAAATCTGTTTTTCCTGCCACCCAATTTCCATCTCCCACCTCCCTTTGAATCCTCCCCCCAATCCCATGGATCTCCTGGATCTCTCTGAGCTTCCCAGCCCCACCCAGGACATCCCAGAGAGGGAAGGGAGCAGAATTCCCAGCAGGAATTCCCGGCAGGGCTCACCTTGGCACTGGGCTCCTCGATGCTCTCCTTCACCGGGATCGGGACTCGCTCCAGAAGCTTCTGCAGCTCCAGCTTCTCCTCCTGGGGAAAACAGGGATGGGTGAGGACTGTTGGGTGTTGTTGAGTGATGGTTGATGGCTGTTGGGTGCTGGCTGCTTGATGTTGGGTGTTGAGCAATGGGTGGTGTTGGGTGATGGTTGATGGCTGACGGGTGATGGTTGTTGGGTGCCGTTGAGTGATGGGTGATGGCTGTTGGGTGATGGCTGTTGAGTGATGGTTGTTAGATGTTGTTGGGTGTTGTTGAGTCATGGTTGATGGCTGTTGGGTGATGGTTGTTGGGTGATGGTTGTTGGGTGTTGTTGAGTCATGGTTGATGGCTGTTGGGTGATGGCTGTTTGATGTTGGGTGTTGAGCAATGGGTGCTGTTAAATGATGGCTGTTGGGCTGTTAATCAATAGCAGTTGTTAGATGATGGTAGTTGGGTGGGGTTGGATGTTGGGTGTTGGGGGTTGTTGGGTGATGGGTGTTGGGTATTGTTGGCTGTTGAGTGATGGCTGTTGGGATTTGTTGGACTATGGCTGTTGGCTGTTGTTGGGTGCTGGCTGTTAATCAATGGCTGTTGGTGGCGTAGGGTGGGGTCGGGTGTTGTTGGGTGATGGGTGTTGGGTGTTGTTGGGTGATAGCTATTGATCAACGGCTGTTGGGTGTGGTTGGGTGATGGCTGCAGGGTGCTGGCTGTTGAGTGACAGCTGTTGGGTGCTGTTGGGTGTTTGATGTTGGACATTGGGTGTTTGCTGTTGGACGTTGGGTGCTGAGTGCCGGGTGTTGGGTGATGGCTGTTGTTGGGTGATGGCTGTTGGGTGTTTGATGTTGGACATTGGGTGCTGAGTGCCGGGTGTTGAGTGTTGGCTGTTGGGTGTTGAGTGTTGGGTGATGGCTGTTGAGTGCTGGGTGTTGGGTGTTGGCTGTTGGGTGTTTGATGTTGGCTGCTGGGTGTTTGATGTTGGGTGTTGGGTGATGGCTGTTGGGTGTTGGCTGTTGGGTGACGGCTGTTGGGTGCTGAGTGCCGGGTGTTGGGTGATGGCTGTTGGGCGTTGAGTGTTGGCTGTTGGGTGTTGGCTGTTGGCTGTTGAGTGTTGGATGTTGGCTGTTGGGTGATGGCTGTTGGGTGTTGGCTGTTGGGTGCTGGGTGTTGGCTGATGGCTGTTGGGTGTTGGCTGTTGGCTGTTGGGTGTTTGATGTTGGCTGTTGGGTGTTGAGTGTTAGCTGTTGGGTGATGGCCGTTGGCTGTTGGCTGTTGGGTGTTTGATGTTGGCTGTTGGATGTTGGCTGTTGGCTGTTGGGTGATGGCTGTTGGCTGTTGAGTGTTGGCTGTTGGCTGTTGGCTGTTGGGCGCTGCCCGCTCCCGCAC